ATACGTTTCGCACGATAGTGGCCGAGCGAAACACGATAATCTCGGGCAATCATATGACTCCTCCGCACGTGACTTTATTTACAGTTGACTGATACTCGCGAACATGTATGGTGCAGTTCCTTGTGACATGATAGACCGAAAACGAAACAAAGTTAGCGGGCAATGCGGTAACAGTAAGTGGTCGTTGATTTATAATGCCTTTGCTCGATAAACTGTTCCCTTCAAGGAGGAGTTTCAGGAACAACGTTCAAACGGTCGTGGCATCAAATGTCGGATCGCAGGAAAATGATAGGTGAGAGAACCCGCAGCTTTTTTCGGACCTGGAGCTTTATTTAATCGCGATCACGTTAGCCACGCTTGCACCTCTATATCGTCGCGCTTCTATATTTTCCGGATCTCGTAGGTTCCACCGATATCTATCGCTGATACACAGTGTATCGATCATCGGTGTCCCCTAAATCGTCACACCATTTTATTCTCCGCGTACCCTGCGCGACCGGACCCGAAATTCCATAGTTTTCGACATCCCTGACCGCGAGGAGGGTCGTTTGAATTCCAGCGGTTTTTCGGGAATCGTATTTCGCGAGAAACCTTAACCTATTTCGCGTTACGCTTCGCTTCTAGGTCCCCGTTGGCGGGAGTCATAATCGTTGCTCGTTACTAACACACTCGTGACTTGGCTTCTGCAGCGAGCCGTGAAATTGACCTCCAAGTTAAAACTTTCCAAACATCTGTTACAAATATTCGAATTGCCAGTGGTAATTTTACTGGGGACGAGTTCAATTCTTTTTCTTCCGTTAATATCGGTACGGGGTAATCAGTTCTCGAGGGGAGTTCGACATTTGAATGATTTCGGAAAATAAGGCCGGGAACCGTCCGTGGAAACCGTGTAAAGTGGTTCACGGTTCTTATCTATGTTCCGAGGAACATTGTAATCGATGCTTTTGGCAAGAATCGCGGGAATTGTTGTAACATTTCAAATCAACGCTGCCTATAGATTGATGCGTTATATAAGAAAGAATAGATATGTAATGTCCGTATAATATTAGACGATCACACGTTCGAATGAAGACATTGTTTCCGTTCCTCGCTTCCGTCATGCACGCAGAAACGCGGAGAATTAAATAATTTAGAATTCCGCACGAGTGCCCTGTTACATGATGGAATATTATTAATACTTCCTCCTACTGACGTTGAAAATGTATTGTCATTCGGATTTAAATAAAACCGAACTAAATTTATATACGACGGTGTGTATATTTATTAGAAAATTTGATTTACAAAAGTTCATTTAATTTTCAAATATTCCTTTTCTGCGTGCTTCCATTGAAAATGCAAAAATAACAAGTATGGTGTATCTACCGTCGCACAGATAAGATATAAACTTGAGAGTATATTATTAATTAGTCTGATGACACTCGCCGCGAAAATAGGAAATTCAATTATATTTAATATTGATGATTTTCTTTTAATTGTTATTAATGTGTGACGTGTGTTGTATTTATAGAGATTCTGGCTTATATCTCGGCACCGAAGAAGTTCGGATATTATTGTTCCGGGAGTGTGAATGGCGCGGAAGGAAACTCCTGTTTGATTCCCTGTCGCTGGAGAAACAATGGCGTAAGGCTAAATTGGCCGCGTTCGATTTGAAAAATAATGCGAACTCGGCGAACGCGGATTCGATGAAATTCCCGGGCAATCATAGCTTCGAGGTAACCAATTATCGCGTCTAATGGAAATGTTTCATTTGCGCGTTTAATTAATCCACGTTAATCTTTCAGCGAGAAAGAACGGCCGAGGATGACGTAAGTTTATTGAGCGAAATGGTGTTTGGCACCGTGGCTATGACCTACAGAGGATCCTCGTTTAAGGTGAACTTAAATAACCATCAGTAATATTAGATTGTCACAGATTAAACGTTTCGCGTCAATCAAGGGTCGAGCGGACGTAAAACGCATTCGATAATTCGTTAATATAACGTCGATGCCGAAGCATGAACATTAAGTAATACTTGTCGTTTTATTTTTAGATCCATTCAATGAATTCACCATCGTGCATCATGTGCACTAAAGTGTTCCCTGCTACAGAACACAACACATGTAAGCCAAGGTAGGCTTGTCCATTCCTAATATGGCAGATATTGATTTCACGTTAACGTTGATTTGTCGACAGTATCTTTGACTTATTGCTCAATTCTGTTCTAGCGAGAGAGTGTCCGACGAGGGGCTGGGTCGTTCCGTGAATTTGGATTCTAATTCCAGCATGAGAACACTCTGTACGTGCAAATGAAAAACTGTAACATGTTACACTGTATTGTTAAGAGTAACGCTAATGCATAGTAATAGAATACAGTGGTAGATATTTTTTTAATAAATAATATTCTTTGAGTAAGTCGCTGGGAATATAGGGTTTCAAGAAATTCAATCTATAACTAATTAAGTTACATAGAACAATTAAGCTAATATTATTTAATAATATCTAATTATTACCAGTGTTGCATGGTAGTTTGCAATTGATAATCACAGCTGAAAAGCGAATATAAAAATAGTTGATGTTTTCAGTGTCACGACCAAGTTCCGGAAATTTGTCAGGGCCTGACTTGAACACCGGTCCAAGAAAGAATTCCACTTGCTCTAGCAACGGAAGTGGATGGGATATAGAGATATCGCCTCCGATGGGCAGTAAGTTCACGCGAAATAGGTGCCGGGAGGTATTCACTCGCTCAGGATTTAACATGATGATAATCCAGGTTCCCAGTCATTGGAGAGCAGTGGTTCCTCAGGTATCGGTAGCCTTTCGAGTTTACGCCGTAGATGGCTGCGAGTAGTATCTACGTCTCTTGCGCGGTCCGAGTCCGACGATGCCTTTGGAATGCAGTGGAATGAGAATGGGACGGATAATAGAGATAGTCATGGCAAACGTCATAAAACAAGACTGGGCTTAACGATGTTAGTACGACTAGCCGAAGGCCATGAAAGGTTTGATCCGTTATTAACATTATATTCTTGCACGAGTAACGTCTCAGTCTTGGCGATCCAATCGGATCAAACTTAAAGATCAATGTTAATTCTTAGTAATTTTTCATTACAGAAGAGTAGAAGCTTGTCTTTTAGAACATATGGCTCTCTTGGAAGGGATGTTAGACCGTTTACGGTACTTCTGCATAGAGTCCGGTAACCTTAACGCTAAGTCTAAAGGGGCGCAGCTTCCTGAACGGCTTTACAGATCTTCCTTTCAATTTGTTATTTCATTGTTACGTTTACTTACCAATGTTAACGCAAGGCTGAATACGCGCTCGCCTTTACTGTGGCATGATGTACTACTTAACTCAGTGAGAATAGAGCACAAAATGAGCACGTTGGACTATAGTCTGCAACAAATGTGTCAGCTACTCGACGAACTTGACACGAAGTCAACCAACTTGTAAGTTACCTGAATCAAAATTGTTATCGTCAATCAAACAACGTTTCTAACGCTAACATGTCTTAGCTTCTTGAGTACCGTTGTGACTGCTGTTTTAACGTATCACCTTGGTTGGATATACACTACACTGCCTGTTCGTGACCGGCAATTGGTAACTATACTTTTCTCTGCACGCTAAGATGAAACTATAAAATTTCCTTAACCACGTAGTATAATATCGGTACATTTTCAGATGGAAAAGATGGGTACTTGGTTTCCCTGTAATCCTTTATGGGCTCAATTAGGAGACTTGTATGGTGCACTGGGTAATCCCGTCAGGGTAGCGCACACAGTCATCGCCGGTGATTCCCAGAAAGTCGAGCAGATCAACTCTGTGTTGTCGTTCTTGACATACTTCATCCGCAGCGGAATCGTACAGAAGCGTCAAGAGTATTTCTGCACCACCGAGGAAAACATTCAAGAAGCTGCGAATGTCCTGGAACAAGCGAAACTGAAGCGTCCGCATTTATTCAATACAAAAGTAACATGCATCGATCGCGATGCTTCAGCATCTAGTCGAACCTCGCTTGCGTCTTCTCGCAAGAAGATCCAAACGCACGAACGCCCGTACGACGTGGACAACGACAATGTCGCGACACAGCGCTCTTATCCTCGGTGTACCAGGGATGTGTTGAGAGCAGAAGGATCCGTTAGTTCCCTGAAACGTAGCACAACAAGGGGATCGAATCTTGATTCGTTCATGCTGAAGCCAGCGGAATTTGAAAGAGAAATGAAGTGTCTACCGAAAGAATTTCCCCGTAACGACGACGAAGATCAGAAATGCACCAACGACGAGAAGACCTGTGCGTCGAGCAAAGTTAAGATAATAGTGAGCGACAGCGCATCGCAGGATATTGATTTGACCAAGACTGACGACCAACATTACCCGGAATTCTCGTTGCGGAACTTCGAGAAGAAATTAGAGGACGACGACATAGAAGAACTGTTCACCAATTTCAAGTTGAATACGCTTCAAGAGCCGAACGATACGGCAATCGACACTCTGAAATTGTATTCCGGCAGACCAGATTTCGAGTCCGGCCAAACCATAGCCGAGAAAATGAAGAATTCTCATGTCTACTTCATGCTAGGCGACGAAGAAAAAACTGCGAAAACATTGCCACGATCGCGGTTCGGATGTAATTGCCAGTGTTCGAACATGTTCACCAGAGTGCCGAGTACGTCTGCACAATTGCCGGAAGGTGTGCTGAGGAAGATTATTCAGAGGAATTTCCCGGAGTCCTCTAAAAGTATACAAACGCCGGGTGCTACTTCCAGCATGACCGCGAGATTCTGTCAAAGATGTAACGGACAAGGTTACATACCTTCCCAAAATTTTGATAGCCGCAAACAAGTCTTAGAAACGCCGACCAACGCTACTGAGGTGTTGCGCACGTGTGGTAGCTCTGGGGGCGATGGCAATGTCGGATTGTCAAGATCAAATAGTCTAGAAGCTTTGATGGAAGCCAGTAGCGTCGTAGAATTGCCCATGCCACGGTTAGTTTTCTGAATAATTACTATCGTGAAAAGTGTAGTTACACTGAGAATATCATTGCAGGTCGAAAAGGATGAAAAAGACTGATCTACGGCAGAATACTGGATTCACAAACACACTTCTGCAGAACAGGATAAAAACTGAAGAGTCGCACGTAACGAGTAACCCGGAAACAGGATACACATGGGGTTTAGTCTTGCAAGGTTTACCAAAAAAGAAGAGGAGGAGGAAAAAGAAAGTCGTGAAACAAAAGGGAAATAGCTACGAAGTTGAGGCAGAGAAAGAATGGTGGTACTACATACGGGAAGAATGCCTCGCCGGTGTTCGTTTTCCAACTATCGATCAGCCAATTACTGAATCGCTTTGTATTTTAGCTGATTTAGATACTTGGCACGTTGGAATCATATCCAACAACACACCATCGCATTCAGCACCCTTGCCAGTTGGGATGTCGCGACTTGTCTCTAATATGCTGGAAGGTTTCTCTTACTTATGGCGAAAGTATCATTCAACATCACATGTAAGAGTATAATGATGTTAATCATTATTTCAATCGTTTTGTTATGAAACGTGACAGCATTATAATTTAGACATCTCGTTTCAGTGTATAGGTATTTTGGAAGCAAAACTGAGAGAAATGTGGCTGAAGAGCGAAGCATTGGCTGAATTGTTACTGGCTACAGAACTTTGCGACGCCAGTGTTGCTAACCTATCGAACGCTCTTGACCTCGACGCTGCAGATATACCCCTTTTACTCGCAGTTGCAACTTCTCATTCACCAGAGATAGCACAAAGATTTGGCCTGACACTTGCTTGACTACGTATCATTGCTCTTATCATAATTTTACTTCCTTAACGCAGACACCTGTTTTTGTCTCTCGCGCAACGAAAGCTAGAAAATGTATTTCATTATTTGTTTATACATATGATTGTATACTATTGTTCTGATAGCTCTAATATACCAATAAATTTTCATCCGTTCTTTAAAATGAGCGACGCCACGGGGATTTTAACTTATTACATGATAGACGAAGGTTTTGCATTTGCATTTAAATATTACAACTTATGTACATATTTTATAATGTTTACGTGCAACAATTGATACTTTTTTTCATCAGCGTTCGACGCCATTCGGAAATTCTCGCTTTAAGGAACGAATGATGAGGTGATCTTACGAAAATGACGATAAAAAGGTTTATAATGTATAAAAATGCGGCGGATACATTTTTTTTATAGACTGCAATCGCGCAGTCACGTATTTAAAATTTTTGAAAAGAAAAGAAAGATGTAAGCATAATTTAACCACGTAGCAGTATATAGTTTTTTTTACATGACATACACGTATTCGATTTTACACACTCCGCAAGAGTGGATAATAAAGCGTAAAATAATTTTTATACTTCAATGTATCTCAGTTTCTCGTTTCAGCATTCTACTCTACCTTTTGCGAGTTCACGGTGACAAAGAATCAATAGTTTTCGAAGCTACAAACGAATGACTCGATACAATGATTATAAGAATAGAGCATTTTTTAATAAATACTTTATTGATACTCTCAGAAAGTGTAGCCTTTAACAATCGTATTCTCACATTATTAACCATTGCAATAAATAACTTGTCCTGTATGGTAACAAAATTAAACAAAGACTTTTCTCCTCGTGGAAGCAGATCAGTTTTATTTATGAAACACAATAAAAAGTATTTATGAAACGTTAGACAAATCGAGCACTAGTGGTTCTCAAGATTATAGAAAATGTTAGAAGCCGAATAAAAATTGAAAAACCGTAATTGGTAGATCGTAATCAATGAAAAGTTCGCAAGTGCATCTTAAGTATAAAATTCTCGTTTGCTCTTATTGATTTGTATTCACAATGTCATCAATCTTCAATATACTGCGAACGGTTTCCGCTGCGAGCCTAATGGCGCTAGTGGAAACTAAAACTGGCTGAATTACGTTCTCCTCTAAAATATTAGTAACTGCCCCCTTTCTTACGTTAATCCCTACAGTTTGTTCGCCTGTAGCATGCCTATTTCGAAGTTCCGTCACGGTTTCAATAGGATTCAGTCCTGCATTCTCAGCTAGTGTCGACGGAATTACCTGTAACAATTACATAACAGCTAACTATAACAATTCTCCAGACAAACATATTCCACTTTTTTCTTTGACATTAGAGTGTAATTAACACGTTGAATAATCCTCATTTAATTGAGTGAACTATAGTAATTCAATTTGGTTGGGAGTCACCGGTGACCCACATAGCATTCAACGTGTTAAAAATATCTTAAAAAATTATTTGCCGACATAATTCAGGAACGCTTTACACTCGCGTTATCCATAATACACACCTCAAATGCATCAGCGAAAGCTTTAACGCAGTAAGCATCAACGCCGCTCAATGTTTGAGCATATTCTGCCACTTTCAATGAAATCTCAATCTCGGGCGCTCCTCCTCCGGCGACTAAAGCTTGTTGCTTAACTAAACAACGAACCACGCATAACGCGTCGTGCAATGATCGGTCTGCTTCTTCTAAGACCAGTTTGTTACTGCCACGTACAAGAATGGTCACCGTTGGTCCAGGGTTTTGGATTTTAGAAATCTATACAGGAATCATTTTTCATGTTAACGTTTTACGTATAGTAGAATCCAAGTGTAACCTAATTTATACTGACCTTAACAAACTTTGAATTTCCAGTTTGCACTTCCTCGCACAACTCAGCATTAACAAGATTTTCAGGGACAAAGTGATCCAACGACGCTATCGGTTTGCAACCCAACGTTTTGCAAATAAACGGAATGTCCTCGCGTTCAATGTCTTTGATTACCATAACTTTGATTTTATCCAAAAAGTGGATGGCTAGATCGCTAATGGCGTCACGGAGAATCGACTTTTGCACCAAGAGCACATTGCAACCAGACTTTTTGATTTGCATTACAATATTTAGAATATAAGCTCTTTCTTCTTTCAAGATACGGTCCATTGCAGCGTAGTCGGAGACGACAACATTGTGGTCCATCTGAAATGAACATTTTAGTCAAATCTGAGAATTAACAGTATGCGATAAAACATGGATCTTTATTGCATTACTTACATCAGTTTTAGGCGGGGAAATACAAAACTGGATTAAACCTATCTTCGCTTTTTCAATACGTTTCGGTCCATTCACGTTACAAGACTTTTGTGTGAATATTAATCCTTCTATGAGCTCAGTGTCTTCGACTGTACCGCCTAACTTTTTAATTACTTTTATGTTCTGCAAAAATAAGCAATAACCTGATTATACTTACTTGACTTTTAAATTAATTATTCATATTTTTGTTTAAAAAGAATGAGTAGCCTTACATTAAGATCGACGTCCTCCTTTCCTTCTTCAGTAACTTTTAATACTGCATTCACGGCCAGAGGTGCTAGAAGACTTGATTGCTGAAAGACTACCTATAACAAAATATCAAGTATTCATAGATGTTCTTGTAATAGTCTATAAATTAGTCGACCATAATTTGATCTTTAAAATATTAAACATTTTCCATATAACCCATATATTATATACCTTTGAGTTAAGTGAAGTTGCTGCAGCTCTGACTAATGATTCTTTGTCTTTCAAATCAACAGGAATAGACATGCCAATCCATATAACGTGCACTGCTTTACTTGCAGCAAGCTGAAATGCATCACTAATTAAGGTGGGGTGTATTCCTTTTTGGAGCAAACGTTCTGCAGCTTCTAAAAGAGATCCTGCTAATACAACGACACTGGTGGTACCATCACCAGCTTCAACATCTTGAGCTCTTGACAACTCAACCAACTAAAAACAGAACACATCTTACGTCAAGTAAAGGTACATCACATTATTCCAATATAAAATAAAAAGTTACCATTTTTGCTGCAGGATGCACAACATTCATTTCCTTTAAAATTGTAGCACCATCATTTGTGATTGTTACTTCACCATTAGCAGCTTGGATCTAAATTTATAAATGTAAGTTGTTATGCTCTATCTCTATGAAATTTATACATATCATTAATATAAATTTACCATTTTATCCATTCCTCTAGGGCCCAGACTAGTACGAATCGCATCACTGACAGCTGAAATATTACAAAATATGTGTCATACATAAAATCTCATTCACAATTTAGTTTTAAATCACAAAAAAATGTTGTCTGTATTACTAATTAACCACAAACAACAGAAATCACGTTTTATGGAAATATTGTTTTCTTAAAATGTATAAATAAATCTCAAAAGAGATGATCAAATTTATCAATATGAACGACAACGTTTAAGAAACTCGGTAGTAAAGTATTAAATATTCGTTCATTTATGACACATAACGAAATGAAATGAGTTGCAACAACGAAGTGTCGGACATTACTATATAAGGCAAGACATTTGTTGCCGGTGCGTCAAGCAATCAATGAAAGGCATGACGCTAGAAACACGATTAGATGCCGACAGATTTATTCACCTTTCGCGGCTTGGATGTTGCTACTTCGAATATCTGTGGGCTTGCTTTTATCTTTGTATGCCTTGCCATGAGCACTCTGTCCATCACCGCTCGCTATTCTCGCCGTCATTCTGAGATGATTGTTCACGTTATTGGAATCGGATAAATTACGTAGTTAATACGTGATACTGAAATGAACTTCGTTCCTCTACGACCTAAAAACAATTATCAACGGTAATTTTCTGTGGAAATATCTCAATGTTTTAAAAAACAGTTTATTGCTATAAATTAACAAACCTACTTAACACGCGCTCAAGAACTCACTGGAAACCGGTGAACGCAAAATACAATAGAGGTATTATAGGCAAGAAGTTGTATAGACGAACGATATTCAGCACCACGTAGCGGCGATTTGTACAATTTGTTGTATCATCCATGTTGTTCCTAGAATAAAGTTCCTAGTCGACTTATTAAAAGACTAACGAAAAAATAATTTATACAAGATTTTTATAATTTTTTATAAATAATCATCAGACATAGTTAATTCGAAACTTTTATTTCTTTTAATACTTGCTTGATTTTATTGACAGCCTTATGTATAAAATAATATAATAAAAGATACGTATAATGCTTCCACCATATTTTAAAATAAAAAAGTCGCTTTTACAGTAGAATGTTTATTGAACTTTCCTATAATTAATAATTAACAAACTGTAGTTGAAATATATAATTACGAGATAATGAAATATGAAATACTAGAAATTACTAAAACATTCTTTTGTTCTCACGTTTCCAAGTCTAATTTCCTTAATTGTAACAATTCGTCAATTTGTTATAATATGGGAAAACAACTGAAAGCTCATTCTATAGTTCTTAATTAGTAAATTATGGAATAACCTATTAATTCTTAATAATAAATACATTTAATTATATAAAATTAAATAGTACGTAATTTTCTAATTCAAATTTGACCAATTTCCCACAGCATCCGCGCCATCTACGATGAAACGTCGAAGCTACTCTCCAATTAGTAACAACTATTCAACTTTAGATGGCGCCACCAACTAGCTCTGCGAAAACTATTAACTCATCAAATAGTGACTAATAACTCATTAATTACGACCCGAATGTAACCAAAACCGTTGCTGGAATGTTACCAAAGATCCACTCTAATTTCTACAACTACAAACATTCACAAATTATGTCTACAAAGTCAGAAAATTAATGATTCACCGGGGACGTGTCAGAAAATTTGATAATGCCTACGTGTAATGCATCAAAGAATCCTTAATAATTAATTAACGCGCAACAAAATCCTATCAAAAATTATATCAGAAAGTAGCTGAAAGTCTATTCTACATTCTGCAGTTACGAATGTTGGCGAGTCATTAGTGGGAATCGAGATATCAATGAATTGCTCATCAGCTTCGCGGCCTGTACCAGGGACTGATGACATGCTTCTCTGAAAGAAGTTACATCAACAATACTATCTCCGTTTTGTCGCTCTGTCTTGATTAATTAAGTGGTTCCACCTATTGCAAAACGATGAAACTTCTAGCAAGACAGTACAAATCATCTTCACCAGGTACATAACAAGCTATATTTATCCTTCTCACTTCCATATATCTCTCCTTGTCTCACTCAATACATTCTCACGTAACGCAACCAACCCATCCAATAATCGGTAATAACTCCTTAACCACAATTCAAATGTGATTAAAACTAACCCCTAAATATTTCCAGAAGTCCTCTCTAACTTCTTCAATTACAAACATCCATAAATTGTCCCTATTAACCGAAAAACTTCAAAACTTCCTCAACACAATTTCAAAAATCGCCGGTTATCTTAGAACATGGTTCCGCAGAATAATTAAGAAACAATTAATGCGATATAAAATCCTATCGAAAGCAGTACGAGAAGGTAGGGGAAGATCCGTTCTACGATCTTAAATTGCAAATATTAACGATTCATCCCTGGAAGTTGAGTTATTAATGAATCCGTTGTAGTTTTCATTTTTCTTCGCCATTGAAGTGTCGCTCGTAGTTCATACCAGTCGCCGTTAGATGGCAGTACTTGATTTGCTGTTCTTGATACCTCCTTATTCCTGATGCTTCACGAGTAGGTACCAGGGACTGATGAGATGCTTTGTCGAAGGAGGTGGCACAGGGAGTGCTATCTCAGTTCTTGTCGCACTCTAGCTTTGTTCTTGTCTTACACATTGCGGGTATAGGGAAAAGCTTCGGAAACGTCCCGCCGCCAGATCGCGCCACTTTCGGCCGCTACCGGAATTCTCTGTCCTTGTCTTACACATTACTGGTATAGGGACTGCCCCTGGTGTACTGCAACCTGTTTCGCATATTCATAATTTAGCCCTGCGATTAAATACGATCTTCCTCATCATTTAAAGTTTAAATGATGAAAGGCAAAAGTTTAAACGATATAACGTTTAGATAATCTTTTCAATAGTAAACATGTTATATACTTTCATATAAATTATGTAAAATATGAAAAATGAAGATCTTCTGGTTTTTTTATTTTAAGTTCGTATTGAACGGATTCGTAGTGAATTGTTAGTAAATTGGGGTGAGGACGGAATGAATGTTACAAGACATAATATTAGAAGATTTATTTCATATCGCAATTAATACCAAGAATATATCTCGTACAGTGGCGTAACGATATTGTGACAATATTTGTAACAATAACTGCCTTGTAAATATAAACATATAGAATCACTTATATATTCTCTTCTTCGCACGTCCCCAAAGAACCTAGAACAGAGTAATACATTTAATTAATACTCATTAACGCAATTTACTATATCTACACGAAATACTCGACGCGATTTACTTAAATATCCAACATAATTAACACTAGAACTACCAAATTGGTCAGAATGACCCATTCTTTGATTTCAATAAGGAAGCTAATTAAGTAATAACTAAGCTGAAATGTAAACCAATTCAAATCTCAATAAATCTACTTTCGTAGTTTTTATAATAAAGTTTTCAACATTCAGTTGAAGTGCTCGGTAGTTCTAGTGTTAAACATACGTAGCATAAAATTACCTTGTGTAATTTCTCACTTTCACGAATCTCTGGCACCGTGAATCTTACTCGAACATTTACATATTATTATTCCATCGTAACAGAAATCAGTATAATGAAAAGTAAAACGAAAATTCCTTCTTCCTCTCTCAACGGAGATTCCATCGCCTGGCGTTGTCACAGTTGAGCAACAAGAGAAATCGAAGAAAGAAACGTGACAAAGGAAACCTCTACGAACGCTAATTGTAAACTAGAAAAGGGGGTAATTGCGGAAAATAAAGTTGTTACATGTACAAATGAAGAATCTCTTATTCATTAAACGTGTTGACAATGTGTTTCGTGTCAGGGACCCTCTCGATTTCTTAACAACACAAATGAATCGTTCGGTTCTCAAGTCTCCGTTGCCGTTCCGCTGCCATCTTGTCGTCGTCGTCTCGTTAAAAAATTCAACACTCGTGATTCTCTGATAGATATATTCCTTTCCTGTTTCAACTTATTACATATCTTA